AAAAAAAAAAAAAAAAAAAAACCCCCAAACAAAACAAAACAAAAAAACACCAAACTAACAAGAAAAAATCCTAGTGGTTTTGGCCTTTCAGGTCCCTTCCCGCCTGTAATGACAATATTTTAAAATATATATATATATTTTTAGTTGTAGGTGGACACATACCTTTATTCTATTTATTTTTATGCAGTGTTGAGGATTGAAACCAGGGCCTCACACGTGCAAGGCAGGCGCTCTACCACTGAGATACAATCCCAGCCTTGATGACAATAGTTTTTTTTTTTAATATTTATTTTTTAGTTTAGTTGGACATAATATGTTTATTTATTTTATGTGGTGCTGAGGATCGAACCCAGGGCCTCACACATGCCAGGTGACTGTTCTACCCCTGAGCCACAACCCCAGCCTACCAGCCATTTTAAGTAGACTGTTGAGTTTATTCTCATGAAGTTCAGTTTAATTCTGTGTGTGTGTGTGTGTGTGTGTGTGTTTAAGTTTGCCTATCTTTCCTTAGTTGTTTAGTGGTAAATATTGTTTTCTTTCTATGGATTTATTGATTCGCTTCCTATTTCAGGGACCAGCTTTTGGTTTTATCTGTTAATTGGAGAGTCTGTTTTCTAATTTAATTTTCATTTTTAAAAGCCTCTCTTGCATTTTTTTGGCTTATTAAGGAGTTTCAGTTCCTTACCTTGAATGCATTATATAATCTTCAATTTTTTTTAATATTTATTTTTTAGGTGTAGATGGACACAACACAATGCCTTTATTTTTATGTGGTGCTGAGGATTGAACCCGAGTCCTGCCCGTTCAAGGTGAGCACTCTACCGCTGAGCCACAATCCCAGCCCCATAATCTTTAATTTTTAAAAGAAAATATTCCAATTCTATTTAGAAAAATCAAACCGAGACCACAAAGAAAAAAAAGTATTTTAGAATACATCATTCATTAAATTAGGACAAGTATCATTTATAATGACTAAAATATAAAGTGTTGAGAGGCACAGTGGTGCACACCTGTAAAATTCCAGCTATTTGGGAGACTGAGGAAGGATGATTGAGAGTTCAAGGCCAGCCTCAGCAACTTAGTGAGGCCCTTAACAGTTTAGACCTTCTCTTAGAATAAAAAATAAAAAGGGGTGGGGATGTAACTCAGAGGTTAAGTGCCCCCAGTGTTCAATCCCCAGTACTAAAAAACAAAACAAAACAAACCCCCCAAACACACCAAAACCCCCCAAACCCCAAAGTGTTAGAATCCCTTAAATACAAATAACTTTAGCCAATTAAGAAGAAAATAACCAACATCCCAACAGAAAAACAATCAGAGTTCTATCCCAGAAGAAATGCAAATTGTTAATATGTATAAAAAGATACAGAGCTCAACTAACAATATCTTTAAAAGCATTTTGAGCATTTTTCAAGAATATTTAGCAAAAACTACCATTTTTTTTTGAGACAGTTCTCTCTACGTTGCTTAGTACCTTGCTAAGTTGCTGAAGCTGGCCTCAAACTTGCAATTTTTCTGCCTCAGCCCCATCAGTCAGCAAACTACTAATTTCATAAAAGAAATGATCATCGTTTCTCTCACCTGGTACAACAGGTAGCTTTTTAGTAAATAAGCAAATGTCAGAAAGAGTTTTCCCTCGAAACAGACAGCTGCACTTCAAGACGAGATGTCCGTAGACAGAAAGATCAACAGGGCTGTTTCATTTATATGAATTAGGCTCCTGATTGGGTCATTGAAGTAGCACGGATTCTCTAGAGGAGGAATCCTCACACATCAGGTGAGGTTTTTCTTAATCCATCCCACCATGTAAATGCCTTGGTTATTCTATAGAATAACTCTCCTTACAAGGAGAGATTGGGGGTAAATACATACAGGAGTTCATTCCAGTGTCCTCTATAAAAAATAATAAAAATAACAGAGAGAGGGACCGAGGGACTGTCTCACTTTTGGACTTTGAACTTGTGCTCACCTGATGAGGACTTGGTAAGATGTCACTTCTCAGCTGAGGCAGCTTCAGCCCAGCTGTCGGCCCTCCCTGAGCACAAGACTTAGCTGGCTTCTTGTTAAAACCCCGATTCCAGGACCCACAGGTTTCATTTCAAGTAGATCTGCAACCAGCCCAGGAGCCTGCATTTTCAGACGCACCACCTGTGCCAACAAGGGTCTCTTCACATTTTCTGTGTTCTTCACAGAACCCCAGGGCCTCATGCATGCCAGGCAAGCGCTCTACCCCAGAGCCTCATCCCCAGCCCTGCGTTCTCCAAGAAAACATTTAGAGGGGCGAGGTTAAGGAAGGCTGGCATTTGTTCACTGCCAAATAATTTCATTTAAGAAACCTTGGAGACTGGACAGAGTCGCGCACACCTGTAATCCCAGCAGCTCTGGAGGCTGAGGCAGGAGGATTGCGAATTAAAAGCCAGCCTCATCAATTTAGCAAGGCCCTGAGCAACTTAGTGAGACCCTATCTTTAAATAAAATATAAAACAGGGCTGGGGGTGTGGCTCAGTGGTCAAGTGCTCCAGTTCAATCCCCATTACAAAAAAAAAAAAAAAAAATCACACACACACACACACACACACACACACACTGTTGTAGATGGGCAGAATGCCTTTATTTGCTTATTTTTATGTGGTGCTGCGGATGAAACCCAGTGTCTCACACAGGTTAGGCAAAGTGCTCTGCCGCTGGGCTACAGCCCCTCCCCAGTGCTAACCATTTTAAATGCTGAGCGGAAATGTTTCAATCTGAGGTTAAAATTAACCGCTTAAGTAATTTGCCACTTTCTCTCCCTGTCCAGACCATTATATTAAAATGATCACTACTATAACTCAAATTTTACTTATGGTCTTTAATCACATGCACTAATTCCTTTAGCATCCAGGCACTGATGATCTTCTCATGATTCATAAAGTTCTAATAAGGGTCTTGTTTGAATATTAACACTAGCTGTAGACAGGGAGAGTGGTCATCAATTTTAAGGAAAAAATATGTAGGAAGTGCAGAACTTTCGAGTGTTGAATTGAATGGCAAGACTCCTTTGGGAGTTGAACCCTTAAATACCTGTGGGAGTTTGGGTTGTGCGATTAGAGAGCATCACATTTGACAAATTCTTTGCATCTTCATTTTATTTCTCACAGTCACCGAAATCCAGTGTGATCTTTATGAAATATCTAGACCACCTTAGATATAGCCAAGGCTCTAAATTTTTATGCTTACTACAGTTTCTAAACAAACTAAATTCTGGGGCTGGGGCTCAATGGTAGAGCGAGCACTTACCTAGCATGTGTGAGGGCCTGGGTTCAATCCCCAGCACCACATAAAACTAAATAAACAAAATAAAGGTATTGTGTCCATCTACAACTAAAAACATATATTTTTAAAAAATTGAAAACAAACAAACAACAAAAACACACACACACACAAATTAAATTCTTTATTTGTGAGTGTGTATGTGTGTGCGTGCGCACGCACGTGTGTTGCTGGGAACCCAGGTACATGCTAGGCAAGAGCTCTACCAGCCAAGCCATATACCCAGCCAAAATCCTACTCTCTTCACAGCTCTCTCATAGGAAGGATGGATTCCGGAAACCTGCAGCACTGGCCTCACCGACCCCACAGGAGAGTGAGTTAGTGCAGCACACAGTTTTATTCTCCTCTGGGCTCCTGGGTAGACCACTCCACTGGCCAGCTGGAAGAGTCCCCTATACTTCTCCAGCCTGGGAAACCTAATAGCTAGTATTTGGACATTTTTCTTTTTCATTATAATTCAGATTATCAACAATTCCATAACTGTGGCATTCCCTTGTCAAAATACAGGTGTTTTTGTCAAGTATTTTAAGTCTAGTGGGGCATGGTTGTACATGCCTGTCATCCCAGCAACTTGGGAGGCTGAGGCAGGAGGATGGCAAGTTTGAGGCCAAAGTCAGTAATTTAGCAAGGCCTTAAGCAACACAGTAAAAACCTGCCCCGAAATGAAAAATAAAGGACTAGCAATGTGGCTCAATGGTTAAGCACCACTAAATTCAACCCCTGATTAAAAAAAAAAAAGGAATTTAAAATACTTAGGGAAAATATCACACACATACTAGATGCATGAGCAAACGGCCTCATCATATTCAACAAAACAAAGTTGTAGGCCAAAGAGTCACTTGGCATTGAAAAATCATGTGGATATCCCTGAAGATTAGATCACATTGGGATTATGACCATGTATGTGGTGCTCCTCCCGCAGAGCAGCAGGCTTTGAGATCTGGCTCCCTTAGAACCTTTCTTTGGAGGACAAACAAAAGCCCATCCTCTACAGTCCATGGAATTGCGGGAATCACTAAGTTTTGCATTTTAGACATTTTGTAAAAAAAGTATCATGTTATTTATTTAAAAAAATACATTTATTTGTTTATATGTGGTGCCGAGGCACTAGGCGAACACTTTCCCGCTGAGCCACAACCAACCCCAGCCCTACAATGTTATTTATGCTGCCAAAAATACAAGTGAGACTGAGACTTTCACTCCTGGCCTCTGAACCATGTCATCTTTGAAAGGACACCTCATACTACCCTAAGTCCACCACTTACTGCTTGGGATGTGCCGGTGAAAGGCTGAGAAGTCATCTACCACCTCAGTGTATCTGACAACTGAACAAACCTCACACGCGGCCCAGCCTCCAGTGTCTTGGCACTGTCACACGTGAGTGACGTGGAAAACAGGAAGCTTACGGATGGTACAAAGTTCTTCCAGCAGGCGGGATGCAACCCGGGGCCTTTCCATATTAACGTGTCTGTGTTCATTTCCTCACCACCTATGCGCCTAACTCTGACCACCAAGACCCAACACGAGCCACACCATCTGCCACGGTTTAGTGTCATCTCCCAAAAGCTCATGTGCGAACCAGGTTCAGAGGTGAAATGACTGGGTCACAGGAGCTTCAACCTCATCAGTGCACGACTCCTCTGATATGAGGAACGGGTGGCACCATAGGCCTGAGTCAAACTGGACGCTGCCAACATTACATTTTAATAGTAAAATAACAAAACTGTAATTAACATTATATTTTAATAATCCAACACGACCATGGAGAAGCACTCTACTTTCCCTCTATTACATTAGCAAATACATAGGACAAAATTAAAAAACAGACTTCACTTCAAAGCACTGGCTCTTAGAACCAGGTACATGTCAGAATCCCCAGTGCAGGTTTCTAAGATATTTAGGCACAGGCCACCCTTTTGGAGAAGGTTGCAAGGGGGTCAGGACTGAGTTTTTAATTGGTTCTTTGTGGTGCGAGGGAGGGCACGCAGGGCCGTGGGTGTGCTCCTCTAGTACTCCACCCAGCCCAGGGCCCAAGTATTTCTGAAAGCTCTTGGGGTGACCGCCGCTCCGGCTGGGCGAGTCACTGATTTGGGGTTGACTGGGCGACTTTGGCCTTCTTCAGCCACTGTTTGGGGGTTTTGGGAGATTTTCTTGCAGATTTGCTGGGACTAGTAAAGAGCTTGGCCTCTGGCTTTTTTGGAGTCTGTCTCAGGTCTTTTTTCCCCAGTGCAGGGTTTCTTTCTGTTTTCTTCTGTCCCACTTTTGGCTGCTTTGTTGGGCCTTTTCCTGGGGTCTCGGGCTCTGCAGATTCCGGGGTCTCTGGAGCTGGCGGGGCCTTTCTCTTCTTGGCACGAGGGGTGCTGGGGCCAAGACTTTTCTTGGGAGACTTCTTTCCTGTGGCCTGGTTTTGCAACCAAAAAGAAGAGAGTTAAATCGGGAACAAATAAACAAACAACCCTGGCATCTGTTCCAGGGTTACTGCTTTTGAGTGAACTCCTAAGGCGGTCTCAGCACGCAGATGGAGAACCGGCCCTTTCTGCTGCTTTGCAGACATCGTGAGTCAGTCACGGGCCACAGCCGACTGTGAAAGGAACCCAGTCTCCCTGGTCCAATGAGGGAAACCACCTTTCCCAGTGGTTGAGGGGAGAACCATGGAAACAGGTCTTGGGGGAACAGCAGGTGACAGTGACCCCTGCTGCCTCTGCTCCACGGCACAGTGAATTCTCTTCAGGAGGGTTGGGAAGGGCTTTCAGAGCAGGTGTAGAGAACCCTGCCAGGAGACTACTAGCAACCACCCCCAGAGCCAGGTTTTGAGGCTCATGGGGGGTGGGGTGCCACATGCCAGGGATCCTAGGTTTCCCCAGCAGCCCAGATGGCTGCTGGTGGGACCTAGCCATGGGCTGTGTGGCCAACTAAGAAGTGGGCTGCTTTGTTTTTATGTAAACACAGAGTATAGATTTTATTATTATGGAAAATTTGAACACAAAAATAAAACTCCCTAAGAATCCTAATCTGTTATAACCACCCCTAGTATTAAAAATGATTCCTAGTAAACGTGGAACGTTGCTGCCAGGACACAGACGCACCCTGTCTTTGCTCCTCAGTGGGCAGAAGTTGTGAGCACTACTGCCCTGATCACACCTCCCAGAGTGGTTCCCTGGGGCCTGTCACTGCGGCCCGGCTGGCTGTGCTCCCACTTAAGTCCTAACACGTCACCTGGCAGTCCCATTGTAACAGAACAGCTTTTTCTAAAAACATTCAGAGTTTATGGGCACTACTACGATCACTTATATATTAAAAAACTCAAGCTGGACATGGTGGCAAACACTTGTAATCCCAGTGGCTTGGGAGGCTGAGGCAGGAGGCAAATTCAAAGTCAGCCTCAGGGGCTGGGGATGTGGCTCAAGCGGTAGCGCGCTCGCCTGGCATGCGTGTGGCCCGGGTTCGATCCTCAGCACCGCGTACAAAGATGTTGTGTCCACTGAGAACTAAAAAATAAATATTAAAAATTCTCAAAAAAAAAAAAAAAAAAAAACCCCAACAAAAACAACAACAAAAAAACCAAAGTCAGCCTCAGAAACTTAGTGTGGCACCGTCTCAAAATACAAAAATAAAAAGGGCTGGGGATGTGGCTCAGTGGTTGAGTGCCCCTGGGTTCAAAACCCTGTACGAAGAAAACGCAAAACCTCAAAAAACTTAAAGGAACCTCTGCTCCCACCTGGTGGGGACCATGTGCCACAGCAGGTAGAGGCTCAGCTAAGAGGAGCACTGTGTCTTCTATGAACACACAAGGGCAATGTTCTAGTCTCTTAGGGACCTATTACCACTCCCCTTTATTTTTAAGAGCTCCCCAATAACTGGACAAGATAATGTATGAGTAGAAAGATTATCAAGGATCCAAAAAGTGGGAGTGGGTTATGGTTCAGTGGTAGAACATTTACTTGCCTAGCATGTAGGAGGCCCCGGGGTTGATCCTTAGCATCACATAATAAATAAATAAAATATCGTGTCCACCTACAACTAAAACATATATATTACTTGAAGGTATCTGCAAAAACCCACGAAGCCAGATTCCTACAATGAGCCACTGCAGGCCCAGGGCCCAGGGCGAGGAGTCAAGGTGCGAGGTTTTCACGGCAGGATCTAGGAAGTTTCCTGAGATTAATTATGTGTTGAGACAAGACCTACTTTTAGGAACAGAAATAAATACCCAAATTTCCACCCTTGTCTGCCTTTTAAATCCATAGGAAATGTTTCTTATTCTTACAGATTATAATCATGGTTCTCGAGGCTTACTCTAGTAATTTTCATCTTCTGTCATTGACATAGCAGTCACAAAACATTTCACTGTGAATAAATGTCAATAAAAATACCTTAACATTTTCTTTAGCCAGAGAGCTGCCTATTGGTACCAGCTGTGGAATTTCCTCATCAGACGTATCTGCTGCTTTTAACTGGGGCTTTACCAGTTTGGTCTTTTTCTTCTGGGACCCAGGGCTCTTCGCTGGACCCCCAGTTTTAGGTGCCGCAGCGTCACCTTTACTTAGGGCTGCAGCCTCCCTAGCCCGTTGCCTTAACTTCTTGTTTTTCTTCTTCTTCAACTTCTGTTTTTCACGGAGTTTTCTCTCTTTCTCTTTTTGCTTTGCTTCCTACCAACAACCAACAGTATAATTTTAGCGGTGAATATTTCTACAGAAAAACCAGTGGCACAGAGTCAGCACTGGCGGTTCTGGGTACTCATCATCTCCTGGGAAACCTTAGCAATACTGAGAGGAGAGCACCTGCACCTCAACTCCGCTTCATTCCCAACTCTTGGCCAAGACGCACCTCATGCAGCATGTTGCACACTGGCAGATGGTGAAAACCATTCTCAGTTGTGAGTAATAAGTAACCCCAAATTATATGGTATGGTCTGTGAACTATTAGCTCAGGAAAGCCGTTATTAAAGGGAATCCTGACCTCCCCCCCATTTCAGACAGTAGTCAAAAGTTAAAGACAACAAAATATTTACACAGGTAGGGTAGGCTCAGCGGTGCATTTCTGTAATCCTAGCTATGTAGGAGGCTGAGGCAGGAGGATCAAAGTTCAAGGCCAGCCTGGGTAATTTGGCAAGACCCTGCCTCAAAGACCAAAAATCTAAAACAAGGCTGGGATGCAAATCAAAGGTCGAGTGAGTGCCCAAGGGTTCCACGTCCAGTACTTTAGCTGTGTGAGCCAATTGCCAATTATTTACACCAGTACTAACTAATCTCGTGAGCGAAGTGGGAACAATGAACACAAAAGCACAGCCCCAGGGATGCTGGGCAGTGATGGAGACTGAGCAGTCCTCTGGAAGCCAAGCTCCAGCCCTGACCTTTTCAAGCCCACCCAGCGTTTAAGGTCAGACTAACCTTTTTTTCCTTCAGTTTACGGAAGGACACTCTGTCGTTCTCATTCTGACAGCTGACAAAAGAGGAAAAGACGGGAAGGGAAACAGACCTCTCAGTCTTCACAAAGAGAAGCTTCACGCTGTCCCACTTCTGGAACAGAGAGGAGAATGTCACCTGTGTGCAATGTGCTTCCTTTGAAGGATCAATGGATGCACTTGTCAGACCTTACCTCTGGCAGTTTCTCTGAGAGAGTTTTTGTGATGGTAATGATGTTTTCAATAATGTGCTGAATCTGCATCCCAGTGTGACCGATGCGTATAGTGCTGAAATTTAATTTAGTTACTAGATGAAAAATTGTAAAAATGTCAAAAAAAAAAAAAAAAAAACCCAACAACCACAGGCAATGTCTGTGAGAAATAAAAATACATAAAACCTGAAGTTTTTTTTTTTTTTTTTTAAAAGAGAGAAATGCTAAAATCTTAGGCTCCAAGTAAGTTCTAAATAAAGATTATAATCTTTCATTCTAAATTGTCTTCACTGTCTTACCACACAGGGGTGATTGAAGCACTGGCCCCTAACTGTGGAAGGCTGGGCAGGCCCGCAGGCAGCGCCATGGGAGGGTCCACCTCCATCCCACAAAACCCACAGGCTGCTTGGGCCCTGCAGCTGTTGTCAGGGAACCGCCAGGAAGCTCACTGGCTACCTTACAGTTCCACTGCCTGGACCCAGCTGTCACCCAAAAGAGAGTCCCTGCCTCTCAAGTAACAGCACTTTCTGGCAAGAGCCTAGCCAATCCCTCCAGCAAAGCACAGCGAGAGGTGTGGAAGGAGGACAAGCTGCAGCTGTGACCCACACCTCCCTCAGCCCAAGGCTGGCCCCGCCAGCCCAGCTGCCTGCTGGCTCCTGGTCCGCCCCAGGCAGACAGGACCAGAGCCCACCCGCCTCGCTCACCCCTCTCTGGTTTACCTGAGGCACACTGTCTGCGCCACACTCCCTACCATCTAAAGCTGAGAGGAAATCACTCCTTAAAAGTTGCTTCCTGGCACTCAAGTCTGGGCACGGGGCCTCCACCTACCTCTGTGTCCCAGATTAAGATCAAACCAAGAGGCCAGTGGGGGAGCGAGACTGACCAAATCCCACTGCTATACTGTGTGCCCATACACATAAGTAACAATCTCACCACTAGGCACAATGCACCAATTAAAAAATAAATAAATAAACCAAGAGACAAAGCAAACATGCTGTAAAATCTGATGGAACAGGGACACTGAATTCAATAACAAGAAATCAAACCAAGACTGAGGCAGAACTTCACTTCAAGGATGATCTGCAAACTCTGAATTACACTGATGTTGCCCAAGCATCAGTCCTATTCACCAGTCACTAGCCACATGCGCCTACCTAAAATCATGTAAAAAACTCAGTTCCACAGATGCAGCCACATGTGGCTAGGGGCTACTGTCGAGAGCCAGCAGTGATGGAGACCATTTCCACCAGAGGAGAAACGTCTATTAAGCAGCCCTACCTGAGAGAGCCGAATACTTCTAAGGAAGGGGTTTTGGCTTTAATGGAAGAACCTGGTTTCATAAACAGTGCCCCTCTAAAAAGTGGATAAATCACTATTAACTATAAGATTTAAAGAGGCCCCAAATGTCTGTTGCCCACCTGCAAGAACCACTCTTGGAGATGTTTAGGACAGTTCCACCTACAGAGCTGTTGATTTCTTTCGATAAATTCTTTGCCAGAAGGTTCACAGGAACTGGAACTCTACAAAAACACACGAGAATCAGAACACAGCACACACATTATCATTTCTATGCTATAAGTCCAGTCCCTGCAGAGAAGCTTACTTCTTCCTGCGGTAGAAATGCTTCCCTATGTGTGAGGGCAAAAGCCGCCGGATTCTGTCATCTGCGAGGAAGAAGTCAAAACTACTCAGAAGGCGGAGCTTGGCTTCATAGGCTTTATACTCTGTTTTTAAGGCTTTGAAAGGGATAATCTAGAAAATACAAAGAGTAAAAATACAAGAGATTAAGAACCCAAACAAGGAGAAAAAAAACACTTGGGCTAAAATTCGTATTCAGAGTTTTAAAATGTCCTAAAAGCCATGCCTCTCACAGGGCGTTGAACACATGTGCGCCAAAAATGTATCAGGCGCTATGCTAAAAGCTAGGAATAGAGAGGCAAATGACAAAGGACACTAGCCAAAGCTCCCGGGGAAAATAAAGAACACCAACAACTATAAAAGAGGGTAATGCTCCCTAAAAGACACGACACTTTGCGAGGACAGAGACATAAATGGAAAACTTTTTTTGTAATTTGTAAGATATAAGTTACTGATGCAAACTCTAGCTTTTAGGTCACAAACCTCAACAACTCCTCTATCACAGGCAAGACAGAAAATACATCTTACTCAGAGCCATAAAAGTCAAATTTTAAAACACAGAAAATACTAAACAATATAGCAATGCACTATCACTTCCTTTCAATTAAATCTTTGAAATGACTTGGAAAATATTAACCTGCTTCCTACCCGAGAGATGGTTTTAATTCCATGCTTGTTCAAAAGTTTTCTGTAGAAACGTTCTGTCTCTTCAATTGATGGGTGCTCATCCTTAGTGAATAAACAGACTTCTGACAGATCTGATCGAATACCATGAGGCAAGGACCTGCAAAACATGAGACGGAACCAAGGAGTGAAGCGCGGCTCTAGAGAAGGGGATGCTTACATTAGCCAAAACATGCACTTCGTGCCATCTTCATAATCTTCACCCGTGCTATTTAAGCAAATACTGTTCTAAGAACCACATCTAGAAACGTATCTAGGAGTGAGGCACGCACACCTGCAATCCCAGCTACTCAACGGGCTGAGGCAAGAGAACTGCAAGTTCAAAGCTAGCCTCAGCAACTTAGTATGGGGCTCTGAGCAACTTAGCAAAACTCGGTCTCTTAAAAAAATAAAAAAGGCTGGAGAAGTAGCTCAGTGGTTAAGCACCCCTGGGTTCAATGCCCAGCACCAAAAAGAAAAAAGCAGGTACCTGGATTCAATTCCTAGTAACAAAACAGAGAAGAAATACTTTTAGGGCCAGGGTGTAACTTAGAAGTAGTATACTTGCCTCACACATGTGAGGAGTGTGAGGTTCACTCCCCAGTACTGTTAAAAAAAAAAAAGACTAGTTTTCAACACTAGGTTTTTTGGATCAACAGACCTAATAGCTCTCAGAAAACTAACGGCATTTCTAGAAATGGAGAAGGGACATAAGATTCAAGTAAAGTGCTAGGAATGGTGGTGCACACCTGCTACGCAGAAGGCTGAGACAGAAGGATCACAAGTTCAAGGCCAATTTGGGCAAAATAAAAAGGGTTGGCTATGCAGCTCAGTGTACAGTGCCTCTGGGTTCAATCCCAGCACAGGGGTGGGGATTCAAGTAATCCACCTAAAACACCCACACACCAAAATATCAATTAACATTTGAGACATAATAAGAGTTAAAATATGGGCTGGGAATGTGGCTCAAGCGGCAGTGCGCTCACCTGGCATGCATGCGGCCCTGGGTTCGATCCTCAACACCACATACAAATAAAAATGTTGTGTCTGCCGAAAACTAAAAAATAAATATTAAAATCCCCCCTTCTCTCAAAAAAAAAAAAAAAAAATATAATCATCAAGATACCTAAAGAGTACATATATAATTATTAAGATTATTAACTCTATAAATAACATAACTTAAAAAAAAAAGGGGACAACATGGAACAAACCAAGAAGAACCAGTAAACACACACTGTTGAGTCATTTTTTAGTTTTCAGCAGACACAACATCTTTGTTTGTATGTGGTGCTGAGGATCAAACTCGGGCCGCACGCATGCCAGGTGAGCGCGCTACCGCTTGAGCCACATCCCAGTCCACGGTTGAGTCTTAAACAGAATTTCTTAGGCCTACATGTTCTGAAGAAACATTTCCTTGGTTAAAAGAGAAAGGAAATAATCACCCCTACACACTGCTTTCTTAAGCAGAGCTGGCTCTTTGACAGACTGGATAGAAAAGCAGTGTTGCCAGATAGAATAAAAACTGTTAAACTTGAGTTTCAGATCAAAAAGTAACATCAGTAGGTCCCAAACAGTGTATGGAATCTACTTGTAGTAAAAAAAAATTATTTGTATTTTTATTTGCTAAATCTGCCCAATCTAGGGAAAAGCAATCTGACTGAATAATCTGACTTGCAGGAATAATATATAATCAGAGTACCTTTTCTATAAAAAGGAGTTCAATGCCAAGCTTTTCAGTTTCTCTTAAGGAGTCTGGACCTCAAATATTTCAGTTTGATATGTTAAGAGCTACTTATTTTACTTTAAATCTCTCTCTTCCTTTTTTTTTTTTTGGGTACCAGGGATTGAACTCACGGTCACTGGACCACTGAGCCATATCCTCAGCCCTCTTGTATTTTACTTAAGAGAAAGGGTCTCACTGAGTTGCTTAGGGCCTGGCTTTTTGCTGAGGCTGGTCTTGATTTGCCATCCTTCTGTATCAGCCTCCCAAGCCCTGGGATTACAGGTGTACCCTGCTTGCTTTAGATCTTTCAAGCACTAGGTTTTCGAATGGACATCTAATAGCCTCAGGAAAACTGGTGACATTTCTAGATAATTTAAGTCCCAATTGCTATTGTTCTTTTAGGCATCAATGATTTGTCTCAGATTTTTGAGTTTGTGAAGTTTGCATTAGAAACAAAGGTGCAATTGTTAGAAGGAACAAGTACATTAAAAAACGTAGAAAAATCAGAACTCACAATCTGATCCTCAGTTCTTTTTCTGGAATTTTCCATAATACCACCATTAAAAATAAATTTTCATTCTCATTCAAAAGCAAGCCATTGTCGTTCTTCCTGGACCTGGAATGCGTCAACAGAGCTTCCAATGCCTTTTTAATCTGCAAAGTGGAGATAAGTTAAATCATCCCAAACGAATTCAACATTCGTCCCTCCCACAATATATATATATATTTGCTCCACCCTCTATTCTAACAGGCTACCTCTACCACCTATTTATTAGGATCCTGAAATACATACTCAGGAATTCAAGTATCCATCAAGACGCCCAAGTATTCTCCTGAGCGCGGTTTACCCAAGGCGCCTGGAAGCACGATTCTCCTGTCCTCCGTAAGAGGCCAGTAACCCAGGAAACGCGCAAAACAAACGGTAGTTGCATTCCCTGAGTATTCCGCGCCAGGTCGCTGGCCAAAGCGGTTCACACGCATCATCTTTCCGGCGACGCTGGGACACCGCGGGCTTTTCTGAAACCCGTTTTAAACGAGAGATGCCAGGCGTCCCGACCTCCCTAGGGATGCCAAGTCGGCTCGGTCTCACCCGAAACGCCAGGCCACACTTGCGAATCCCGCTCCAGAGCCAGGCCGCCCGGGGTCAGCAGGGGTCCGTCTATCTGCAAGCACTGACCGCGGGTCCCAGGGCACCGCCACCCAGCCACCCTCCTAGGGCTGCGGGCTCGTGCACCCCGGCGCGGAGGCCGCGTCGGGTTTCCCGGCCCCAGCCGTCCCCCTGTGAAGCCCCCTTCCCGGGGGCCGCTCACCTGCTCCTGGTCCAGCTGGTTCCGCGAGGTCGGAGCAGCCGGGGTCGAAGCAGAGGTGGCAGAAGCAGCCGAGGCCTCCGCTGGGGTGGAGGCCGCGCCGTCCATCGCGCCCTCACCTCGTGCGGACTCGCCTCAGCAGCTCGGCGCCGCTTCCTCGTGCGCACGCACCAGCGAGGCCCGGAACCGGAAACTCAGGGCCCGACCCGAGTCCCGCGTCATTTCCGGGAGGGCGCGCAGTGGGGTTCCTGGGCGTGGCGCGGCCGTGGCCGCCAGGGTGGCGGCGAGGGCCCCGAGGCAGCGCCTCCTCGCGGGGCACCCCCCGCTTTCCGAGGGGCACGGGGCGCGGCGACACTTGTCGCTCTCACGTGAAACCAGCCGAGAAAGCGCCTCGAGGCGGAGAAGGCCCTGTGCGGCCTGGGGCCGGCGGCCGGGGCGCGGAGTCCCGCCTGCACCTGCCACTGCGGGCTGGCTCTGGGGACGCCTCCCCGGGCTGGTGGCAGTTCGGGGACATTCAGAAGGACAAACACCTGGGGCGTCGTTCAGCGGCGAGAGGGACCGAAAGGTGAGCCAGCCCCGCCCCCAGGACTGGCGGGAGGCGCGAGCCTCGGCTGCCCAGGAGCCGCGAGCGGGGCGCGGAGGGACCGTCCGCGTCCTCGGCTCGGTCCCCGCAGCCCGTCACGGAGCAGCGTCGCCGCCCCTCCAGACACGTCCTGGGCAGGTTTGGGAAGGGTCTCGGCTTCTTTCTGGAGGCTTGGCGCTCGCGGCCCCGCCCCTGGCCTGTCCCTCGTGGGAGACGGCTCGGGAGGCGGTTTGCCGCGGAGCCTGGTAGTGGGCCCTCCACGACGTTTCCGTCTTCCTGCACCTACCATTAGACGTTTTGAGAGGAAAGAATGGGAGTCGGAAGCCTTCTAGGTTTCCACGTTTTCAGGAGCCCCTTTCCTAAGAGGACGCTCTGCCGGTGATCTATTAAAAGGCGCACCCCTGTCGTCCCAGCGGCTTGGGAGGCTGAGGCAGGAGGCTCACAGGTTAAAAGCCAGCCCTGGCAAATTAGGGAGGCCCTGAGCGATTCAACGAGATACTGTCTCAAGATAAAAAGCCCCCCTTGGTTCAATTCCCAGTAATAACAATAACAAAAAAGTGAATCGGCCAGGCCATTGGGGCACACCTGTAATCCCAGCTACTCGGGAAACTGAGGCAGGAGGATCACAGGTACAAAACCAGCCTCAGCCATTTAGCAAGGCCCTAAGTAATTTAGCAAGACCCTGTCTCTAAATAAAACATATAAAGGGCTGGGGACGTGGCTTAGTGGTTAAAGTCCTCTGGATTCTCTCCCCAAAAAAAGAAAGAAAAAAAAATCTGGTTAACTGTACTATTGGTCTTTTTTATCCTTGGAGATGAGTAACTGACAACTTGTAGGGACTATAATCTATTACCTAATATCAGTATATAATTGGTGAATGTTATATCGTGAATTTTGACAGTTCAAAATGCATGCTTAGGTAGGCTTTGTTTTTCTGGTATTGGGGATTGAACCTAGGGATGCTCTACCATTGAGCCACATCCCCAGCCTTTTACTTTTTTTTTTTTTTAGTTTTCAGATAGGGTCTCCCTAAATAGCTGAAACTAGCCTTGAATTTCAATCTTCATGCCTTAGCCTCCGCTGTAACTGGGATTGCAGGTGTGTCACCATGCCCAGTTTTTAAGATGATTTCAAATAGACATTATGAAATACTATGCTAGAGCAACTTAGCAATTTAGTGAGACCCTGTTTCAAAAATAAAAAGGACTGGGATATAGCTCAGAGGGATGTAGCACCCCTGGGTTCGATCCCTAGACAGAGGCTAGGACATCATAAAGGATCAAATAAAAGGAATTCTGTAAAAGCAGTTGTGCACATAATTTGATAAACTAAAGTTATCTCCTAGCCCCCCCAAAAAAGAAAGGAAAAAGGACTTATCCCTGAGTTAAGAGTTAATTGGAGGGGCTGGGATTGTGGCTCAGCGGTAGAGTACTCGCTTAGCCCGGGCAGGACCTGGGTTTGATCCTCAGCACCACATAAAAATAAAGGCATTGTGTTGTGTCCATCTACACCTAAAAAATAAAATATTAAAGAAAAAAAGAGACTTAATTGGACCACTTAGGAGGCTGAGGCAGGAGGATTTCAAGTTGAAATCAGCCTCAGCAATTTAGCAAGATCCCGTCGCCCTGGGTTCAATCTCCAGTACCACATACACACACACAAAAGGTAATTAGAAATTCAGGTTAGTTCTGTAACTTGCCCAGGTAACATGTCATTGTGATAGGGACAGTCCAATGATTGAATTGGTACATCATTTAGAAATGGCATATCAGAGGGAACACAGGGAGGTAAGCATTCAAGATTGGACAGGGAGATCAGAAGGGAGTTTGCTATTTCATCACTTTTTTGAGATCATTAAATTGATGTTTTATAAAAGTAGATGAAGAAGAGGTGAATCTCTTCTCTTTGGTTTTACTTTTCATTTCTGATGATAAATATATTTTCTTCAAGAAAGCTATATTTGCAATCAACATGACAAAGAATTCTAATTGGAAAGCCAAATTAATTTTCTTTTAAGGACAGAGGTTTACAATTGTGGGATATTGGTAAATGGATTATTACTACTCAGCAATATGAAAGAATGAACTACCGATGGAACAGTGTTAATTTCTAAAAGGTGATGTGGAGAAGACAAAATTGAGAACATTATGTCATTCTATGGATAGAGTTCAAAAACAGGCAGTCCTTATTACTTTGGCAGCAGATGGATTGGAAAGGGGCAAAAGGGAACTTTCCTGGGGTGTTGGAAATGCTCTGTGTTACAGGACACATTTACATAATTGTGGACACTTAACAAGCTCCTTATAAAATCTGTGCATTTCACTGTATACAAATTATACCTTAATTAAAAAAAAACTTTCTACAAGTTTTGTTTGCTGGAACTTCTTTATAAGTCATAATTACTCCTATGAGTCTGATTATTTGAAGATTTCTTTCTCATCCTAAAACTTCTATATTTGCAGTTAGTAATGTGCATTGCTTTTGTTCTAAGTAACTGCAGTGTATGAGCAAACACAAAATCTTTTAGGAGTACTGTACTCTTGCCCAGTTAAGTAGGGTGAAATTGCCTGATAAAATTTCAGCATAAAGGGGCTGGGATTGTAGCTCAGTGGTAGAGTGCTTGCCTTGCACATGGGTTCAATCCTCAGCACCTCATAAAAATAAGTAAAGATATTGTATCCATCTTAATAATCTTAAAAAAATTCAGCCTAGGGCTGGGGATGTGGCCCAAGCGGTAGCGCACTTGCCTGGCATGCGTACGGCCCGGGTTGGATCCTCAGCACCACATACAAAGAAAGATGTTGTGTCCGCCGAAAAACTAAAAAATGAATAAAGTTCTCTCTCTCTCTCTCTCTTAAAAAAAAAAAAAATTCAGCCTAAATATAATTACATGAAGAAGGATGCAAAACAAATGTGATTTTTTTCTATTGCCCTTGCCTAAAAGGCCAAATTATACTTATATATATAATTATATATATAATAGCTGGGTTCTTAACTAAACTCAAACCAGAGGGTAACATTTTTGGTAAAAAGTGCCTTAAACACAAGAGTTAAGCTTGTATAAATTATAAAATTTTAACTGCCTAATTGCTTAAGATATTTCCATTGAAGAGAAGTGTCAGATGTGAGCAATGGGATAAGAAAACATCCTGGGGCTGGGGATGTGGCTCAGGCGGTAGCGCGCTCGCCTGCAGGTGGCCCAGGTTCGATCCTCAGCACCACACACAAACAAAGATGTTGTGTCCTCTGAAAACTAAAAAAAAAAATAAACATTAAAAAATTCAAAAAAAGAAAACATCCTATGTGGGAGGCCAACCTTATGGGTGACTGAGTTACACTCCCCAGCTGGGTGCTGAGGCGCTCAGTCACAGAAATGGGTGTGTCTTGCTACAGCCCCATGGGTGAAGCTAAGCTCACCTGTTCCTTTGTAATATAACCCCTTGCCCTGTTTAGGACAGAATCTTCATGGAAGTGCCTTGTGTGTGTCCCCTCCTCTTACTGTGCCCTTGGGTGTGGCCTACCCAGGTGTCAGTCAACCTGCTGACAGTGGACATCATGAAGATAGACTCAGCCCCCTGAAACCTGACCCCTCGCCTCATTTGAATAGCTTCTCCTCAATAAAAGGGGTCAGCGCATGCTCTCTCTTTCTGCGGACCCTTAAGGTCAGAGGAGCCGTCGCAGCAACCCCAAAGAAAAAGGTATCTGTGTCTCTTGTGTGGTTATTTCGTGCAGCCCAGTCAGCCCAGTTTAACTAGAGTGACCCTGAGCCTTTTAGTCGCGAGAACAGAAACCCGGCAACCCTACTCCCATTCAGTGAGACTCTATGCACATTAAGGAAAAAATTTGGTTTGATTTTAAACACAAAGATCTTAGCACAAATAAATGAATAACAAAAAGTATTCTTGTCAGCTAAGGATTTGTTTCCTTGTTTTAGGTTATCTTATCTGCAGTGGAATACAGGAAATAATTGCAAATAATACTGGGTGCAAATCCTTTAGAAAGAATTTGAAGAAAAGGTACATTCACAATAATTAGGAAAATTTTCACCTTTAAGACCAACATTTTGAACTAATTCTACAGGGAAAGAGTTTTTATGTGGTGTGAGGATTGAACCCAGTGCCTCACACTCTGCCACTGAGGTATAACCCCAGACCTAGCTCATGACTTTTTATTTTATTTTTTTTAAAGAGAGAGAATTTTTTATTTTTATTTTATTTTATTTATTTATTTTTTTTTTTTAAAGAGAGAGTGAGAGAGATAGAGGTAGGGAGAATTTTTTAATATTTATTTTTTAGTATTTGGCAGACACAACATCTTTGTTTGTATGTGGTGCTGAGGATCGAACCCGGGCCGCACGCATGCCAGGTGAGCGCGCTACCGCTTGAGCCACATCCCAGCCCCGAGAGAGAATTTTTTAATATTTATTTTTTAGTTTTCGGCGGACACAACATCTTTGCATGTGGTGCTGAGGACCGAACCCGGGCCGCATGCATACCAGGCGAGTGCGCCACCGCCTGAGCCACATCCCCCAGCCCACATGACTTTTTAAATTACCCACACAGCATCAA